CCCTCAATGGTCTCCTTGGTGATGAGCCACGGCCGGTGCGCCAGGATCTTGTTGATCTCGTTGAGGTTGCGGAGTTTGGGGGGAATGAAGTCGAGGCCACGTAGCCACTGGGGATCGCCCCCCGCCCGCAGGAACTGCAGCACGTGCAGGTTCACCAGGTACCGGCACTGGTGCCGGGCAGCTGCCTGTGAGAGCAGCACATCAGCACCCCCGTGCTGGCAGGACATCCTGGGCCCTGCACCCACCTCTCGCCCAACCTCCTGAACATCATTATTTTGGCCTCTGTAAAGCAGCCTGCAGCACAGGCTGTCTGACAGAGAGAGAGCCCCCATCCCCCCCAGCAGGGCTCACCATGATGGCGATGTAGTGTCGGCAGTCGAAGGGCAGCGGGCCGTCCATGTGCATCAGGTAGTGCTGCATCTTGAGGAAGCTGTCCAGGTACTGCGGGTGGTAGCCCATCTGCTGGGTCACCGCCTCCAGCCGCCCCCAGCTCGCCAGCACCTTCACAAAGAGGAACTGGGGGCGCTCAGGGTCGCTGCCAGACATCTTCACTACCTGCAGGGAAGATGCTCTGCTTAAGCTCTCCCCAGAGCAGCCCCTGCTGCTGCTGCCCATGCCAGGCAAATCCAGGCACTGAGAAGGGCTGGGATCCCTTCTCCCTGCTTGGTATTCCCAGTGGGACACCATTAGATCAGAAGCCACCACAGAGGGCTCAGGCTTGGGTCAAGAAGCTGGGCAGAGTACTGCTTAGAGGGGTCACTCTAGTGGGAAGACAGGCTGCAAGAAACACAGAGGTGATCCAGAGGGTTAAGGCAGCACCAGCAGGGACAAAAAAGCTGGTGCAAACCAAAAGTGACTTGCAGCAGTCCCCTGCAAAGTTTATCTGCTTGGGGAAATGAGCTGCCTGCCCTGATGACACCCATGGGGCTACGGCCACCAATCTTCTCGTGGGCACAGCTGGAGGAGCCAGGGAGTCTTACAGCTTCCTCCAGGGAAAGGGCACCTCCTGCAAGGAGCTGTGTGACCATCTCATGGCTCAGTCGCTGGGGCCACCAGCTCTCCCTGCTCTGCTTGTCCAGGTGATGATGGAGCAAAGGACCAGGCAGACATTGACTGGAAGGGGGATGAAGGTGCAGGGCAGCCCCGCCACCGCAGCCCTTGTCCCTCAGATGAGCTCTCCTGCCTGCTCCCCACAGCACCAGCTCAGCCCCGGGCTCTCCTGCTGGCACAGCCCCACCAGCCACGTCCCCTCAGCCCTGCCTCCCCGGCCCCATGCATCGCCCTCCCTGGCCATAACCCTTCTCCTCCTCCTCTGCACCCACTCACAGCCCTGGGTGGTGGGAGCGTTACCTCCTTCCCCAAGGGGGCTTTCATGTGTTCGAGCCCTCTGAATCCCAGCAGGTACCCCCCACCCCGTACCCACGACCAGCCTCACCCCTCCCTGCCCGGGTAGGT